GATTTAAATGGGTAAAAAGGGTTTTCTCTTTCCAATCTTTTACTCACTTCCGGTACCCCAGCTGTAATGTCCACTGATACCCACTTGTATGTATGTCACCCCCAGTTCCTTCTATAGCAGCAAAGAGCCACAGTGGCCCTTCCGGACTCCTCAACTTATGATACAGGAAAAGGTGAGGAGGAAAACAAGGAGTCAAGAATAGGATCAAGTCCGTTCCCCTACAAGAAAGATGAGTGAGAATGAAAATAAAATAAATTCCATATTCTCTTCAGCCCTGGGAATCTGGAATCTGATGCATCAGCAATGGTAAGTAAGATACCTCACCAGAACACACAGGCCTAAAAGGGTCTTATCTTCGCAATTTTTAATCAAGATCTTTGGATGGATAGAGTCTGCTAAACTTTGTCCAAAGCAAGTAAATGACTTTTTAGTGGGACAAGGCCACTTCATTAATCTTCCAAATAAAAATATCTTTCATATTTTAAATAAGAATCACAAGTAGAGTACTAAGAAGTTTAACTACAAGATGTTCTTCTTCAGTGTCATTCTCTTAAAATAAAACCCTCCTAAAATCTCCTAAAAATAAGTCTGCATAGTTTCATTTCATTTTCTAAAGAGATAAACATCAAAACACTTAGCTTCTTTTTTAAAGCATCTTTCTGCTACATGGGGCTCACAGATCAAAGTTTAAAAGGGCCAATTTCTTCACTTCGTAGGTCAATGACACAGCTTTGAAAAAGAGGAAAAACAGTCCCCCTAGTGTACTGCTGCTGTAGGAAGAGGAAGTATATTAGTTGAGAATCACTGACGAAGACAGTACTGCCAAAGGAAATTACAAAACAGCATTTTAGCAACATGGACCAAGCAGAAGACAGATTCTTCACACACGACCATAAACCGGCCCTTTGGTGGTACTCCAAAGGTAATTGAGGTCAGAATTACAAGACGATGTGTCAATATTATGATTTTGTCATTTTGAAATTTAAAAAATATGTTTTTAAACATAAAAGTTGCAGTTAAAATAACATTTTCTTAATACGGTATGTTGAAAAGGAACTGGATGCACTAATCTAAAAAACTCTTAACAGTGAGGGCGTAAACAAGCATTGTGTGGCAGGTCAGCCCTCATCTTTTTACCTTGGGAAAAAGCCATAGGAGCGGATATTCTCATATGAAGGAAGACTTGGTCTCTTGAACTACTCTCTGAAGTGGCAGCAGAAGTCCTCGCACAGTATCTTACACTTGTGAAATTGTGGGAACCACCACAGAAACTCGTGGTTGCCTAACATCTTTGTGCCCTGACCCATGGAAAAGGCAGGTGTGTGGGAGTGTATAGGAAAATAAGTGATAAATAGGGCTTACAAGGGAATCTAGAGTCTTTGAGGTCTACCCAGGACAGGAGAAACTGAGAGAACTTACCAGTTTAGTTATGGGTACAGTGTAAGTAAACTTAATATGAATTGAAGGAAATGTAATCTTTTCTCCCTCTTAACCACATCTGATTATTCATTTCTACTTTAATGCCTGAGGTAAGGGAACCTGTAAGATATCTATCACCTTTCTCCCTGGCACAGCATACATTTGACAAACCCAAGTTAACCAAGAACTTCCTCCTTTTGTTAAAATGCTCTCTTCTGTGCCACCTTTATCACTTCACAATCCCCAAATACACATACTGATAGGCACTGAACTGCTACACAAACATGATGCACTCACTCGGCCTACATCAATATTCATCTATCTTTTGATGCTCAAAATAATAACCAAGACGTTTTTTAGACTGAGGCAAATATGCTTTTCAGGAAAGCAACTTCTACTTATGTAAGACTACTCAATGCTTAGTAAATGACCTTAAAAAAAAAATCAATTCAAAGAGAAAAATAGTGTGAGAACAAAGACTAAGAATTGCGGCTACTAGTTACTTCTGTACTAACTAGCTGTGTGATCTTAGAACTAAGTCACTAACTTGAAAAACCAGGTTCTTCACCTATAAAATAAGGCCACTGAACTAGATCAGTGAACCTCATCCCAGCAGTACATTAAAATCATCAGCAGGACTTCAAATCTCTCCCCGCTAACCACCACCAAACACTAAAACCTCTCCCCCACCACACACCAGCACAATTAAATCAGATTCTCTGGGTATCAGTATTTTTTTAAAGATTCCCTGGTGATTCTAATATGCAATCAAGGGTTTGAATCACTGGTCTCGATTCTTATCTCCAAGGCCTCAATTCTAATTCTTTCATTCTATGATCTTAGGGTAATAATCCTAGTTACAGGATCTCATAAATGCGATGGCCCAAAAATCCACAAAAGTAAAGTCTAGACCCTGCATACTGTGTCTATAGTACACATACGACTAGGAGACATTAATCTGAATTCTAGAAATTTTAAGAGTTTTAAAAAATGAATACATAACTCAGAATGAAAGTAGTGTGGTTTAAATGCACATGCATGCTTCCAAAATGACTAATCGTGATAGAAATCAACTTCTGAAACCTGGACATATAGACATGGGTCACAATTAGGTTCTGACCTCTCCCTTTTCCTTCTTCTGGTCCCACTAAACCACAAGCATAAAAAAGGGTGGCTATTAGTCATATCGGAATATGAAACCAGCTCCAGTTTCAAAGGGCCTTTTCTATCATCAAAGATTTGGAAGTTCCTGCATGGCTGCATCTTTGGATAAAGGTCATCTTACAAAAACTCTAGATTATATTCCTACAGTCTTCAAGGATTAGTTGTCCCATAATACTCAAATGGAACTGGTGTAAAAATTTAAATTAAAAATAATCATAAAATGTGTCCTTGTATTTTAAACATATTAAAAGTTGAGAATTTCAATTTATACTATTTCATAAGATTTTAAAGAGAGATTAAAACAGCAGAAAAGGGAAAAAGAAACTATGAGACCAAGAAATGGTTAGGACATAAAACCACAAAGTAGGCCCAAAATTTCTACTGCAAATCCTGCAAACTACATGAAAATATAATTTTCTCCATTCTCCCAGTCTCAATTCATGGCTTCTTCTGGTAATAACACTTTCTCACATAAATCTTTCCTTAAAAAGTCAAATGCTTTTAAATTGTTATTATTTTTAACTATAAGCACAATAGCAAGAAATGGTAGTTGTGGAATTACTCTTGTAACCTTAAAAATCATAAGAAAGGTGAAAACCCTTCCTATGTTAACTTTTTAACTAAAAGTTAGCTAACTTAATTAACAGATATTCTGCACCAAATTAAAACATGCAGGATTAAATTTCAAGTGTGAGAAATCTGAAAAATATTCCAAAACCCCAAATCTATCTCTTAGATCCTGTAAACTCACCCCTTCCTAGCATTGTACACTGAGATTAACCCTTGCTATCCTCTTAGAAACTCAGTTTTAAAAGGCATCACATTAGCACTGCTTTAAAATGGAACTCTCATCCTTTCTTGTAAATAGCCCTCGTATCACATAACTGGCATTCCTTTGCAAAGAAATAAAGTCGAATCAAATATAACATTCATAATGTCAGCACTTGTTAAAGGAAATGAAACAGAATTGTGAAATAATATCACAGCAGACGTTTTGCTTTTAAAGTTTGTTTAATCTAAACAAGGTTTAAACCTAAACAAGACCTCTCCAATACTGGCCATTAAAAAAAAACAGCACTTTACCGGGTTTTTTTAAAGCAAATTAATAATCAATACACTAAATTCTTTAGCTTTTCACATAGTTTCCTCTCTAGTGCTTCAGTTTTCCACTAAGGTCAAATTTCTTATTTCTTACATCTACGGGAGCCCAGGAAGATACAGGGCTCCCCAAAGACAATAAAGGAAGGGAGAGAAGGAGGAAGCAGCTACCCATTAAAAAAAAAAAAAGCTAATTGCAAAAAGAAGCAATTGCAATTGTACAGGACTCTCTTTTGCCTTGGTATTGTCACATTCATATACTTGGATAAGAGGCTAGAAAAATAAGGTGCCAGGAAGAGCAAAGCAGCTGGGTATCAGCAGAGGCACAGGGGCTAATCTCTTTGGATGCCCAACTGCAGGAAGTCATTACATCATAGGCCTTTCCACACCTCTCTCCCTACCACGTGTCCAGTGCCCCAAGAGGCTGAAAAGGAACAGTAGAGAGCCTCTCTTCAGGTTCACTTATTGGTAGAAGCCATTACGGCCCAGCCCTGCCACCAAATCTCTCTCCCAGAGACTTAGGTAAAGCGCTGGGCCCTGAGTCCTCCACACCTGGACTCCACCTCTAACAACGCTAGAGTACAGCCTCAGCGGGAGCAGCAGGTGAGGCCAGATCGTTTCTCGATGGCAGAACTGGCTAGTTCCAGGTCCCAGAACATCTCAGAGGCTACTAGGGGCAGATTTACTGAAGAGACATTGCTGAACAATAAAGATGTCAAGAAAGAGGACCAGGAGAAGGCTTGCAACCACTGCTTTTTCTAATGAGATCTTTACGCCTTTGGGAGTTAACAACCACAAACCCAAAACTTGGACCCAGGGGTTCTCATCCAGCTAGTGACAACGCACCATGCTCCTCCAACCTACTGGAAACCACAAATCCAACCCCTCCACCGGGCACCAAGTCCAAAACACTCCCCCGCGTCCGCTCGCTCCACCTGCAGCGCCCTCACCGCACCTCCACTATGTTGAATTCTACTCCAAAGTTGGCCCCAGACCTACCTCCTCCGCGCTGTCTCGGGAATCCGGGAAAAGCACTCAGTTCCGTCTGATCTTCCCTCACCGGAGTCCCTTGCCCCTTCTCTACACCTGGCCATACCCGAAAATTCCCAGGAAGCCTCCTTCCCCCGGGCCCCCTCCGCGGCCATCCCCAGGTTCCTCTCCTCTGGACATAACGCAGAATCCCCAAAGCCTCACAGGAGAGGCTCTCTGCCAACCCCTCTCCCGGGTGCCTGCAGGAGCGCTCCAACGAATCGAAGGCGCGTCTCGTACTGCGCAGGAGGCCCGGCGGGTCCCGCCGCCCGCCCGAGGTGGGTACGCACCTTCCAGCCGGCAGAGCTGTTGCTGTCGCCCTTATCCTTGAAGTAGGGCACGCAGCGCACCATCCACTCGTAGATCTGGGACAGAGTGAGCCGTTTGTCCGGGGAGCTCTCGATGGCGCGAGTGATCAGGTCTGCGTAGGACAGGTTCCCCCAGGCGTTCCGCCGCGACGAGCATTTCCGCGGCTGCCCGGAGCCCCCAGCCGCCCCCGGCTGCGGCGGTGGCAGTGGCTGCTGAGGCTGCAGCGGCGTCTGCGTCGCCCCGCTCGGCGCGCCCGCGGCGGGGGCTGGCCCGGACCCGGGGTCCTGCCCTCCGGGAGCCAGTAGCCGGGCCGAGTCCTCGAGCAGCAGCCCAGCGCCCAGCGTGCCGCACCCGCCGCCGCCGATCGCCATGGCCGAGCCGGCCCGACTGCTGCTGTCCTCGTCGTCTTCATCGTCCTCCTCCTCGGGGATCATGGAGTCAGCGGCCGCCTCTCCCGAGGGCTTGGCCGGGCTCCCCTGGAGCTCCGGCCTCTGCAGGGGCCACGTACAGGAGCGCGGCCGGCTCTGGGGCTCAAACTCCGGGTCCAGCTCCACTTCCAGTGGAGAGAGCGGGGCCGGGGACGCCGGCGCCTCTGCCATCTTCGCCGCCCGCCCGCGGCTCGGGCTCTCGCGCTCTC